GGGGTAAACCCGCCATAGCATGGTAGCTTGACACACAGACGTTTTTTACCACCTTCCAGATGGTAAATTTTACTCTTTCATGGAGAGTAAACTCGTCAGGGAGGGGTAACATGACACCCAGACGTTTTTTACCATCTTCTGTATGGTAAACTCTTTTGATTTACTCTCGTCTAGAGGGTAACATTTTCGGAAGTTACGCTCTGTGGAAGGGTATCTCTTTAACGTGACCCTCCTCTAAAGAGTAGCATGCCATCTACTCTGTGATTTACCCTCTTACAGAGAGTATACCCTTCTGGCTTACCCTCAGTCAAATGGTAATGCTTACTCTTCCCCAAAGAGTTTACCCTCCAGAGGATGGTAGCTTGACACACAGACGTTTTTTACCACCTTCCAGATGGTAAATTTTACTCTCTCATGGAGAGTAAACTCGTCAGGGAGGGGTAACGTGACACACAGACGTTTTTTACCATCTTCTGTATGGTAAACACTTTTGATTTACTCTCGTCTAGAGGGTAACATTTTTCGAAGTTACACGCTGTGGAAGGGTAACTCTTTAACGTGACCCTCCTCTAAAGAGTAGCATGCCATCTACTCTGTGCTTTACCCTCTTACATAGAGTATATCCTTCTGGCTTACCCTTAGTCACATGGTAATGTTTACTCTTTCCTTTAGTGTGAATCCCCCAGAGGATGGTAACGGACCCACAGACGCTTTCTTCAGAAGCTTCGCGAAGCTTCTGTTAACCGGAGTTCATCAACTAAAAACATGATTCAAGAGCAACAATATATTTGGCATTCCGTACAAACATTACGAGGGGTTCACCAGCCATGAACATTGTGAGACTCTCCACTTAATCATACGGAGTTATAACTCCGTATGAATAAGTGGAGAGTCTCATTCGATGTTCATACGGAGTTATAACTCCGTATGAATAAGTGGAGAGTCTCACAATGTTCATGGCTGGTGAACCCCTCGTATTGTTTGTACGGAATGCCAAATATATAGTGTTGCTCTTGAAGCATGTTGATTAACTCCGGTTATCAGAAGCTTCGCGAAGCTTCTGAAGAAAGCGTCTGTGGGTCCGTTACCATCCTCTGGGGGGTTTACACTAAAGGAAAGAGTAAACATCACCATGTGACTAAGGGTAAGCCAGAAGGATATACTCTATGTAAGAGGGCAAAGCACAGAGTAGATGGCATGCTACTCTTTAGAGGAGGGTCACGTTAAAGAGTTACCCTTCCACAGCGTGTTACTTCGAAAATGTTACCTTCTAGACGAGAGTAAATCAAAAGAGTTTACCATATGCAGAAGATGGTAAAAAAAACGTCTGTGTGTCACGTTACCCCTCCCTGACGAGTTAACTCTCCATGAGAGAGTAAAATTTACCATCTGGAAGGTGCTAAAAAAACGTCTGTGTGTCAAGCTACCATCCTCTGGGGGGTAAACTCTTTGGGGAAGAGTAAGCATTACCATTTGACTGAGGGTAAGCCAGAAGGGTATACTCTCTGTAAGAGGGTAAATCACAGAGTAGATGGCATGCTACTCTTTAGAGGAGGGTCAGTTAAAGAGTTACCCTTCCACGGCGTGTAACTTCGAAAATGTTACCCTCTAGACGAAAGTAAATCAAAAGAGTTTACCATACAGAAGATGGTAAAAAACGTCTGTGTGTCAGGTTACCCCTCACTGACGAGTTTACTCTTCATGAAAGAGTAAAATTGACCATCTGGAGGGTGGTAAAAAACGTCTGTGTGTCAAGCATACCATGCTATGGCGGGTTTACCCTTCAGGAAATGGAAAAAAGTTTTCAGTGAACAAAGCGTTCAGCGATGCACACGCGGTAAATAAACATTACGATACAACTTGAATGCAACTTGAATATGAACATTTAAAATGAATACTTGAATATAAATAATAATAAAGCTCCCTCGAATTGGATAAGGCACAGCGCACAACATTTGAAGTGAACGGCAGCGTTCCTGGATTGTCGCCCGTCTACGTGGGATAATTAAACTGCATCACTACAGTGCATGGCTTTTTCTAAGTCGCCAACAAAATGCATCACAACAAAATGTATGTACCTACTTACAACACTCTGCCACGTGGCCGTGCACGGGGTTCTGTTAGCCAGATCAAACAAGCACCACTCAACAGCACGCAATGCTCTATCACATCGGTACTTACAATAAAATGTCCGCAGAGGCTCTATAGGCGATGAACAGCACACAAGCACAATCACCAACGGCCACGTGGCGCCGCACCGACACTGCTCACTCCCTCCCTCGGAGACCAACGACGGAAAACTGACAGATGCGCGCGCGGCCTTCAACCTTCAAACGGCCGATCTCGTTTTTGATTGGCTGATTGATACTCTTTCAAATATTATCTTCACGAGGGTAAACAAGATCCACGCATGAAACGACCACCTGCACACGAGGCACGATACCCAGGAGGAAAGAGTTTTCGTCATGTCTAGGATTGCGAGAGTAATATTGATATTTACATGGTAATAACACTCTTTGCTGGCGAATAACTTCAATTGAACCACGTACCGTTACCATGCACATAATGGTAGCAGCGAGGTACCCTTTCAATATACTCTTATCTTGTGGGATTGGTAAAAATGAATCCTCCAGGAGGTGGTAAAAAAGTTTTGAGTGTGGTGTTGAACAATGTCAGAAGTGACAGAAATGTCAGAGGAATGTCAGCGGGACTGCGGCCCGCCCAGGCCACTGCCAGGTCCGCCCGCGCGCATCAGGTCCGCCCGTAACCTTAACCTCTGACCCCAGCCGCCCCGTGACCCCGTCTGCGCGTGCCCAGAAGCGCACTCCGCCCTGAATTGGACAGCGTAACTCCATTTAAGGTGGTATCACACCGCTTATTCGAACAATACGTGCGTGTTCTGAAGGTGTATCGTCGCAAAGTCGCACTCACTCCCGCCTCCCCTCTCGAAATGTGGATAGAGGTCGGCCCGCGAATATATATTACTGACCGGGCCGACGAAATTATTTGGAAACGAGGTTTGCAAAATTGACGTAGGCCCGAGTGCGAAGCACGAGGGCCGGAGTCAAATTTTGCAAGCCGAGTTTCCAAATAATTTCGTACGGCTGAGGTCAGTAAGATTTTTCCTACATGCCGCATACCTGCTAGGTTAGTTTCGACAGGTTTTGGTGACACTTTTATGCAATTGTTTTGTCCATATTTTCCTAACAGTGATTGCGCTACTGCTGTGGATAAAGCCTTAAAGGAAATTTATAGAAGAAAATGCATCAAAATACCTTACTTCAAAAATAATCACGTCTGAAAATATCAACTCAGAATGGCACAACAATTGGATATCCAAGGAACATAATACTTGAATGATTTGCCACGACATAAGAACAAGAAGAAGGTGTAATATTCCTAGTGATTAAACGTGAATTTTCCCAGTGCTCTTGCAAGAATCTTTGCTTAATTTATATAATCGTACTTTGTTGATATGCCCTATGGCTAAACGTTCGTCAAATACATTGTATTTTCCATATTTTACATGTTTGTTTCGAGGAAAGGACTACAACTGCCAAATAAAAACGCATTAACTTAGGCCCAAGGTATCAGTGGACATATCAAACGAAGATAAGACAACAAGCGATAACGGATTTCGATTAATAGGCGCATATCTTACCATAATTTCGGCTTTGTAACCAATACAAAATATTTCAAAACCCTTGATAAGCAGAGCAGATATTTACCAAAAAATGTTAGTTTTCTAATTTTACGCGGCAAATATCATGCAATAATGATGTCAATTATACATTCCCTGTCAATTATACCTCTGGACTAATGCGATACACTGTAGTTTAGAGGTCATTGCCCTGGGCAGTAAACTCGGGCAGTAAACTTTTGTTTCCTGCCCGGCCTATCAAATAACATGGCATTTTGACACAGACAGTTTCTTGGTCATAGTTTTACTGCCCGGCTCGTGCTGTGCTTAAGACATACCCCGGCATGTAGGAAAAGTCTCACGTGACCTCTACGTAAAGGGACAGCTTCTGCAATTCTTTTTATTCCGTGTTGCACTGCTCCCCAGCAGAGCTCATACAGGAAAAATATACTTAGCGAAGTAGGGATAATATTCACCTCCATTGTCTGAATCCACTCTGTCATCCGTACATCCTGCCACATTCCGGGAGTGGCTCCGGCAGGTGGTCTGTGAGGCGTTTTCGTTTAAGCAGATTTCGGCTCCCTTAGTTGTGGGGAGGGACTGTCTGGGTGTGCGCCAGCAGCGGGCTCTCGAGTCGGTTCTTTTAGTAACAGTGGGCGGCATATGTGAATGCACTGTGGACACATGCGCTCATTATCCGACATGCAATACTGGGAACCTCTCTTTGTTCTCGACCGGCAGTCTTCATGGTTTGTTTTTGCGCGGGCTTGGGGCCTTGACACCGAGAGCCTCTGCAATCTCCAGGCAGCCTCTCCCTTAAAGCTGGGCCACGTCATTCTGTTCAAAGCGTCAAAGCTCTACCACTTACCAGTAGGTAGGCGCGGAATGCAGATTGATTTTAAGACGGCAAGAAAAAGGGCTGGGCAAAATAAGCTCCTCTGTGAGGGAGCTCCCTAATTTAGTCCCAGCTCGTCCCGTGACCGTCTGTGTAGTCGCCGATGAATCCAAGTAAAGTCGTGTGACAAACCGCAGCCGACGGATGTGGGAAACACAGCCGACGACAGCAGCGCACTCAATCGCCGCAAATTCGCTGATGACGCCCCATTGAAGGCGGCTAACGGTCCCCCGGTTATTGACGTTTCGTGGCGTCTCGCTCGTCACGTCAGTCGTCATCAGCGGGGAACGTCAACCATGAAGCGAAGAATGAAGCTATGTCGGCGACGTCGGGCTGACGAGAGCTCGTTTAGGGAACAATGCGAGAGTCGGTACGTGGGGTATGTTTAAAGACTCTAGTAAGAAGCGTCTGTGTGTTTATGAGGTGTTCGAGTCGACGCGCTGATATCTGACCGCGTTCCGGCAGGTGGCGATGCGTCTGTTCCGCCGGCGGGGGTCCGACTCGGCCCCCCAGCTGGTCAGCCTGTCTCCGCTGCGCAGAGAGGAGGGTGGGGACCCAGAGGACCCCGCCTCTCCACCGCTCATCAAACCGTCCATCATCTACATATCAGCCGACGAGCAACACAAAAAAGGTGAGCCGCCGCTGAGGGGAAATTTATCAGCCGAGTTTTGAGAATGGACGAATATGGCTACAGTCAAGTGCCGACTCTTGGAGACGCCCGTTGCTTATTTACACCGTGAATTTATTATGCTCGTCAGATTATCATATCGTGCTGTCAACACGTCAACTCATTACCAAGTTATCCAAGCTATCTTGACAATCACCAGCGGCACCGTATTATGGCAATCAATTGGCACGTTACGCCATCGCATCGGTAGTCACATAAATCAACATCAATTTCTCTCTATCAAATGACCAGTAGTCATACATGGAAAACGTGCATCCTCTCCCACAGCACAGCCATCGACAAACCCACATCACATTATGTGGCGCCACATCAATCCCACACACACCACAGTCTGACCGCAGCGTGCAGAATCTGCCACAGAGCCGCCAGCCTAACCAACTCCGGCTCACACAGCTCTAAAACTGGACCCGCGCACAGCGCCCAAATTCCGGTCAGCGGGGCGGGAAAGTCGTCTTTATCGGCCCGATCGCTGGGCTGGAGAGACTCTGAACTCGGAGCGACAGGGCGGCACGTACGGAGCCCGGTCGGTGGGTCGAGCAGGAACGGCAGGCACATCCCAAACATCGCAGACGTCTGAGGTGTGCGACAAAAGGCATGGCTGGCGAGCCAACCTGTACCGCGACGCTCTGACCGAGGCATGCGCGCATGTGACCCGGGACATGTCAGCTGACAGACTGACATATCGATATACACACGTCACGCGACGCGTTCGCTGTTGAAGTGCTCAGGGCCGATCAATATCGATTTATCATGCATACGTCTGTAACGTTCGGCTCCATCTCTCTCTCTCTCTCTCTCTCTCTCTCTCTCTCTCTCTCTCTCTCTCTCTCTCTCTCTCTCTCTCTCTCTCTCTCTCTCTCTCTCTCTCTCTCCCTCTCTCTCCCTCTCTCTCTCACTCTCTCTCTCTCCCTTCCCTTCTCTCTCTCTCCTCTCTCCCTCCTTCTCTCTTCCCTTTCTTTGTTCCTCCCTCTCTCTCTCTCTCTCTCTCTCTCTCTCTCTCTCTCACGGAAAAAACTAAAACACACATATCGACGCATGCAGACAACTGCACCTATTACTCCTCAGTTCCCTACACAAACATATGCATATCAGGCGATACCAACGACACATACAGCGCACAATGCACACACACGACCTATCCCGCTTCACCCTGTCTCTCTCATCATCACGCCCCGTCCCATTCCGCTCCGTCCCGACGGTTCACGTTCCGTTCCGTGACGGTGCGTGCCGTGAGTCGTCACGCCCATCGTCACTCGAGAGTGACACGTAGGGCGCTGACTCGGTTGTGCATCGGTTGCGCCTCCTCTTGGATCTGCTCCAGTGCCGGCAGTAAAAGTCGTAGGTGTTATATCCGACTGCTTCCTGGTTAAGCCAAGAAGAGTCAGTTTCACTGGTTATAAATCATTTTTAGGTAGGAGGGCGCCAGGTTTGAGCTCTATGTATCTGACTACCTAGATTGTAGCATAATAGCCGTTTTCACGACGGCCATCTGGTACACATTTGGTGCACGTTTGGTGCAGATTAGGTGCAGATTTGGTCAAATTAGGTTCAGTGTATCTCTTAGTAGCTATCAGCTAGGCTTGCATTAATTGCTTATATGCCTGCGTTGCCATATTATCAGATAGTATCATCGATTAAAACACTGAAATAAGTTCATAAAATAAAGATATTTGCTGTAAAGAGATTAGGTGCAGATTTGGTCAAATTAGGTGCATTCGCCGGCTAGCCCGTCGTGAAAACGGCTAGTGTTGATACTTTCCGAAACAACTGTAGCAGCTTTTCATCAATGAAGATTTATCCTTTCTATAAAAATTCACCAGCGTGATAGAACGAAGGACCGTAGTTTGCTCATTTCTTTACAGACACTATCCTATCACCTAGCATTTTAAAGTCTGGGCTGGGCCTGCCTTTTGCCTTCTGTTAACCTTGGCTTGCAGGTCCTCATCAGACATGTCGGATTTGTTTTATGTTCACGGTTATTCAATCCAGTCGTCCAATTGTAAAGTTACTTTAATTATAAATAGTTTCTGGCGCAATTAAAAATCGCTTTCGCTGACTAAGCGAAGTTTCCGGTTTTAAATGCCAGCTCAGTTCCAAGCCATTCAACTCTCTCTAAACGTCTCACCACTGCACAGTCGGCGAAACTGTCTCACCGTGACCCGCTGGTCGGCGGACCTCTGATTTCCGTCAGAAAGCCGCCGCAGGTCACGTGCCGCAGGGTCATCCGGTGACACGGCGCTACCGGAGGGCCGGCGCACCCGGGTTAACCCAGTTATCAGTTCAGTCACACCCGGCGCGGCGGCGAGAGTGCAGTGCAATGAACGAGCCACTCGCGTAGGGCAACCACAAACGGCCTCCGCATCCCCGGGCGAACCGCCGCCTTCTCACGCTCGTCTCATCCGGAGCGTGAACCGGGGTGCGGCAGCGAACACCGACTGGCGGCGCCACACGCCAGCCGTGGATAATTTCCAGCCAGGGTTACGCTCGAAGGCGGTGTGATGCCCGCGGGACGAGGCCAGTGCCCCTGCCGACCAGGCTCAGTGATGTATCGAACGTCCGTAACGGTATATCCGCTGACGGCCGCTGCAACGAACAGCCGTCTTTGGCGTCTTGCATGCGGAATGGGCATGATCGTTTCTCACTGGGCATTGTCATAACGCCAACCAGAAAATGCAATAATTTTAGATGGGACCCGAGGCGCACAACACTCCTCTCGAATGCAAGCCGAAAACCGGTCCAGGTTCTTGTCGTTAAGGGCATGAAGATTTGTGTGCAATCGCACAGAGAAGGTTCACGAAGGTGCAGCATACTGAGAACTATCCCTGATTGAAAAGAACCGCGCCACTCTTCTGATTTCATCTCATTTTGAGTTTAGTTTGTCGGAACTATCAACTAGCATGGTTTACCGGAAGAGCAGTGCTGACTGCTGACTGTTGAATACAATTTATTTACCCTTTTATCGATATCCCCAAGATCGCTCCATGGATACAACTTTATTTTATGCAGTTGCACAATGTACATGTATGGATTTGGAGCCAATTTATATGAATGTGGCGATGCACCAGCGTTATACAGAAGCCACAACCGGCGCACACCCTGGGCTGGACACAGTTGAATCGACCATACCGTATGCACCAAACCGACCAGTAATGCGAGCCATGTGGTCGAATGTAAAATGTTGCATTGTACGCTCAATATTTGTTATTCAGTATCCTACTGTGCAGACCTAGCTCGAAATTCCGAACGACCCAAATTTGGTCACGCCGGCATTTCATTGATGAACCATTGGTGGATGCGCACAGTTCTGCCTAGCAACATGCTCCGATTATTCAGATGCATAATGCATATTGAATATTATTCACATGACACTGGTAGGCATGCATATTGCACATTGAATATTGCTTAAGTTCATAGAAATGGAAGAAGCCGCAAGTGCTGATGAAACAATTCCAGTGATGCTGCACGGAAATTGTAGCGAGTAAAACTGGGGTAACATCCAGAGACGTTTCCATGTTATTGATGGTGAAACCAATGTATACCTAATACCTATAAATGGTGCAACATTGCATGCAGCTTTGGTTCTTATTAATCCATCATATAAGAGTCAACATTCTACCTTGGTCCATATGTCCCGATCTGGAATATTCGAATACGTCTTTTCTTTCTTGTATTACGACCAAGCCATGTTCACCAGTCCGAGCCTGCCATGGCGCCTGTAAAGCAGCATCTCGCAGTGAGGAACCGGAAGAGGCACACGCTAACAGCCGGCCGAAAAACCCACCGTTCACCGCACCACGCCCACAAAATACCGGCCGCGTCACCGACCGTCTCCGTGGCGCCGCGAACGCCCATCGCGCGGCCGGGCGCTCTCACGGCAACGGCGGCAGAACTGTTTTCTGTTGGTAACTTCTGTCTGTCTTGGCGGAGCGGCAGGGATGGGGTGCCATAGATAGTGGGCAGCAGCGTACAGTCCACAGCAGAAGTAATGTGCGGTTTCAGTCATGAGTTTGTTCTGCTTCTGAAGCTTAGGAACGATTAGCCAGACTACAGTGAAACTTTGAATGTAGTTTACATGTATCGTCACCCTTGCAGCTGCAACTTTGTCTATTGACGTTTTCTTTTCGATCACTCCGCACTAAAACATCGCCAGTCAAAGCGATCCGTTGAGATTGGTAAAACCACACATTACTTTAGCGGTGGGCTGTACACTTACGGCCCTCGACCCGGGTATCACATTCCTATATACTCTTGCACGCAGACACCATACAAGCATATTGTATTCATACACATTACACACGTGCATGCATCGGCCACCGGGCTTTGGAGCGCAAACATCCACTCATCGCCACCCGCACCCATCCACCGGACCGCACGGTTTTTTATGGGTCTGTGTCGGATGCGGGTGGCGGTGTTTTGTCGATGACAGCTGACGGATGACGGATGACAGCTGATGGCTGACGGATGACGGCCAAACACCTCGACCTCTGGCCACCCAGGAAGTGAATCACTTCCCGAAACGGTCCGTGTGATGGGACTCTGGATGTCACTGGCCTCACATTACGTGCGGTCAGACATCAACCATCTGTCTGAAATCACTCCTCGATCGACTGTAATGGATCCACACGCCATTAGTAATTAGGATAATGAAAACCTACTTATTTATTTACACTACTCTATTGACTTATGGCTCGAACCGTAATGAGTGATGACTGTAGAAAACAATTCTATATATAATCCCAATGAGTGTGCAAGGTTACAGTGGAAAACCAAACATTGAAGGCAGTCAATTGGCACTCACTGCTATTCGAGTCGTTGAATGTGTGCTGTCTCCTTTCGTTTCAAATTCCTACGCAAATCTAGCAATAAGGAGAAGATACTAACATCTTTGCATGGTAGATCAAAATGAAACCTTTGAACTTTTCACTTCATGCAATGAAGGTGCAGGATGAAATGGGGCACCTACCACCTTTCAGGGCACGGTTTATGGTGCATATTTTCGACCATCAAATTCGGCGACTGCCGACTGCCCCCCCCCCCTCCGCACCAGTGCTCACACGACCATCTCAAGCCCGCGGACAGCTGCTGTATTGCACGGATTGCTGTGCAATTGCAGGCCTGCAGCGCCCCCTACGCACCGTTCGGCTCCCACGAGGGGGCAGGCGTGCCGCCGCCGGCCGGCTGTGGACTCTGGCTGCAGGGAGGGGCGTGGCGGTCGGCCCAGCCCAGCCCGGCCCTCGGCTCCTGTCTGTGTCTGTGCATGACTTCTGATTCGTCCACTCCATCTGTCGGAGCTGATCGATGGGTGCGTTGGCCCCGCACGGATAGATTTATACGGCACTGAGCGGCGCCCGAACTCCGATTACCGACACGACATGTTTGGGAGTCGTCGAACCGAGCTCGGCCCGCGGCACAAAACGAAATGGCCCGTATCGTCCTGAGAGGCGGCGAACGAGCGTGTCTTCTCACGAAACGATGGGATCATCATGGAAAGTGCTCCTTTTATAAGAACAATAGAACCTAATCGTGCATGGCGAAAGCGATGAAAACCCGAAAAACAACTTCAGAAGGCCTCACTTCTTCTCACAGTTCTAAGGCTATGGGTCATATACGGGAAAGCTGTCAAGTTGTGCTTGATCTTTCAGAGTGCTCGGTCACCCCTCAGCGGTTGTGCGTTCCGCCGAGTTGATCACAGGGCGGCTGTCGGCAGGGATGTAATGTAACAGCCGTGCCTATAACCGTGCCTGATATGGGATGGGAAGTGGCCGTTAACACTCTGTTCGGCTCGTGGATTATGGGTGGGAATTCGATTCTATGGCTCGCTGTAATTATGTGAACTGTGTTCAGCAATACTAACTTTCACAACGTTCGTCACTGCGGCACAGATTCGCAGTAGTGAGCCATCAAATCGTGCTTTCGAAGAACGGAGGACGACATGTTGATACGGACGAGGACGACACACATATGCTTTTTTCATTGGACACTTCTGTACCACGCATAAAATACTGTTAAGTGTTTTATTATTCAGTTACTAGTTACATGTTGTCGACTGTTATAATGCCATTCGTAGCAACCAAGGACGTGCGAATGATGGAATTTGGAAAGAAAATGATACATGCGTTGCCTTTTCAATTATAGTTCGAGGTCAAAGACCAATATACGGTCAGCATTGAACATAGAGTTACATAATTTGCTCTCTCAAATGCTGATCTCGCTGTCCTTAAACGTCGTCCCGAGCCCCGAGCATCTATGAAGCAAATGCCTATCGGTAGAGTCAGACTCGGCCTCTGACAATGCTCTTGTCCACCGAATTATGCTGACCTTTCTGTCCTTTCCTTACGTTTCAGACGTGTCGACGTGGGGCCGCCGGGTGGGCCGTCGTCTGTCCCGTCTGACCCGGTCGGGGAGCAGCGAACAAATCAGCGGCTCCAGCAGCTCGGGACGCCGGCGGTGGCGCGTCTCGGAGCCCCGCACAGAGCACCGGATAGAGCCCCGACCGGAGCACCGCCCGGAGCACAGACAGGAACACCGCCCGGAGCACCGGCCGGAGCACAGACCGGATCACCGCCCGGAGCACCGCCCGGAGCGCCGCCCGGAGCGCCGCCCGGAGCCGGAGCCCGACCCGGAGACCCGCAGTCTGCGCGCCGAGCGCCGCAAGGTGGACAGGGTGGAGAGTATCCGCAACCTGCTGCGCCGGCCGGTGGTGGCCGTGCGCGACCGCGAGCGGCGTGGATCCGACACGGCGCTGCCGCTCACCCCGGTCACCGAGCAGCGCCAGTCGCGGCCGGCGCGGCCCGTCAAACGCAGCATCAGTCTCTACAAGAGCGCCTCCACCAGCCACCTCGACAGCGACCTCAACAGTCTGAAGGATGCGCTCCGACAGTCCCGTGAGCAGGGCGTCTGGAACCAGTCGGCCTACCTGCCCACTAAGACGATGAGCTGCGACAATATCATCGAGATAGGTACTAAGAACGTGCTACCGCCGCCGGAGAGCCGGAGATACCCCCTCTCCGTGCTGCCCGAGGAGCCGGGACCGGTCACCCTGCGCAGGAAGGTCACTATTGGGGACGTCCGATCTCGCAGTCACGAGGGTTTCCTCAGTGATGGTCGGCCTCGGCGCTACCAACCAGCGCCGTCGGCAGGCCAGAGGCAGCGAATGGGAGTGATGGGCGGCGGCCAGCCGGCTGAGCACCGGTTCGTGTCAGCAGGAGGTCACACCGCGCGCAGTGTGGGTAACATCACCATCAGTCTGTCGGAGGGAGCGGTGGGCGGAGACAAACGTCCCCTCCACATGGTCTGTTCTACGGAGAGCGGGTACGACAGCGACGGCACCCGACGCAGCGAGGGCTCTCCGCCGGGCAGCACGCGCCGCATCAGCGTCCACAGCACCTCCAGCGAGGACAGCGGCAAACTATCCACCCACGAGCTGCGGTCGGCCAGAGCGCGCACAGTGCCCGCCGACATAGGAAGGGTTTCCGGCTCGGGGTACCAGACGCGTGTCATCTCCATATCGCCGGATCCCCGGGAGGAGGAGCGCTCGCCGTTCGCCTGCCAGCGCAGTAACACGGTGCTCCGCCAGCCGCCCAGCGAGCTGTGGTTCAGCGACGACGCCAACCTGTCCTCCTGCTCGGCCTCAGAGCCGGCAACGCCGCCAAAGAAGTTCATACAGCACAAGTCGCGTCCGGCCAAGCCGCCGCGCAAGTCACTGCTGCGAGAGCAGGTGACGGAGATCTCCACACAGACGTCGCTGCCGTGGGACCGCAGCCAGTATGACGAGCTCTCAGACACGGAGAGTCTGTCCGGTCTGCACCGGAGCGACACGGTCCGCCGGCGGTATCCCGAGCCGGGAGGTCACGGCCGCGCCGGCGACAGCGTCGACCCGCCCGAGCGCGGGCACACGGGCGTCTACTACGCTCGCCGGGCGCCCACCATCGACCCGCGATCCCGGTCCGAGAGTCACCTGCTGTCAGAGGGTTACGGTCGGTCCAGATCGGAGAGCTACTCGCGGGACCGCGGGGATCCCTCCGAGGTGCCGACCCGGGGCCGGATCCGGATGGGGACCCGGGAGGCAGCCCGCGAGCCGGGCCGGCCGCCGGCCCGGCCCCGATCCACGGGTCACCTGGTGGCGGCCGGCGGCGGTCCGACCAGCCCGGCAGCGCTGCCCTCACTGCCGGCAGACTTTACCAACAAACAGTTCAAGATGCTGCGCGTCAAAAAGGCCGACGGAGACTCACTCGGGATCTTCATCGCCAGAAACAGCGGTCACGGTTATCTTATCGCCGAGATGGAGCCCAACGGCGCCATAGCGAGGTATGTTTGTGCAAAAGGCATTTATCTAAAAAGGAGGTAAGTAAAACACACTAATAGTAACACAGTACCTAACAGGGTCGGAGCTTCCTATACAGTTGGTGGGGCGGCTGCCCCACCAATAAGCGTTTTGCCCCACCAGCTTGACCTGATTTCTAAGATTTTGTTGCTTTACAAATTAATGTTTTTCGCATTGAAGAGCTTTGAAACGTCTGTTTAATGCAAAATATTATACCTGTAATGATAGGAATTGATTCAGTGTGGCATTTCATTCAACTTCATAATCGGACATTGTGGGTTTGACGACTTTTTGCCCCACCAACTCCCCAGGAAAAGCTCCACCCATGGTACCTAACACAGTAACACAGTAAACACAATAATTCATAGCCGATTCAGAATTGCGACGAATTAATACAAAATAACCAGACTGACATGCTCTTTACTTAATTAGGCCCCCGTTGCCCGCGCCACTATCACCAAGCGTTCGCCTCAGTTGGCTGTCAGCGGCCGAAACCACTCGCGTCGGCTCGTTTGTAGGGTAGGACGACCCCTAAAAAAACGCACCGAGGGAGTGATAACGACGAGGTAGGGGAAGTTGGGGGAACGCCGAATACTTTTTTTCTGACGCCCGTAGCACGCAAGGTAGACAACATAAGCTATTCTTGTTGGCGTCATTCGAGAGGCCAGTCTTTTGCCTTTCAAACATACCAGGCGCATTTGATGAATTCGCATACCGTTAAGCGCACAAACTAGAAATATCAAAGAAGTGACTTTTTCGGCGTTGCCCCGGACTGCGGGAAAGCCGAAAATGGGAGAAATGATCTACGGGGAATGCCGAAATTGATGTTTTGCCATTTTATCTCAAACTTTATCCAGAATTCATCAAAGCTGACATGGGTTTTAAGAGCTTGAGGACGCTTGGTGCACACTGGAAGTTATAATTGTGTGATATAATAAGAAAAGGCCAGGTAAATCATTCCTTAGAGGTAACAGGCCGTTGTGTCGGTTGAAAGTGTAATTTGTGTGACTAAAAATACGCGTTGCTATTCTACAGCAGTAAAGTCCACGTAGAGTGCTTTAACGTGCGTAATTGCACGTTTTCGGCATTACCCCAGCCAGCCATACTTTTATTTGCAGGCCCATAACTTTTCAACGTGCTGTATAAATTTCAAATAGGCAGCACACTTATGCAAAGACATGCTGAAGATTACTTGACCGAATTGGCCAGACAAACGGTAGCATAATGAGTAAGAAATGCAGCTTCAAAGGCGCATGTAGTACAAGGGAAACGTACCTTGAAAACGCTCTTGGCGCCCTCACAGCCGAAGTATTCCGAATGACGACTCGTAACAAACATGCGATAATTGTAGTCACTTTAGCTTCAGAACATCACTGACATGTGGCATCCATGTCGTACGGTTTTCGAAATATCTTGAATTTCGGCTTTGCCCCAACTCCGGCATTGCCCCAACTTCCCCTATGGTCGGGATTAAGGATATGCAGGTTTGACGAATCTCGAAGTCGCATCTATTAAATAGGTGAGGGTGGGTGGGAAACTTCTCGCCCACTCTCTGCTCCACTCGCCGTCCGTCGCAGTCGACGACTGCCGTTCGCGCCTCTCGGCTCTCCTGCCAGCGGCGCGCCCGTTCCAACACTCCCCTTCGCACCACCCCTAGTCAGGGTCTGCCCCGCGTCTGTCGGCGGAGTGATTTATCTGTCTCCGACCCCCGTCTCCCTTTGCTCCGGTCACGTTCAGTGGCGCCCGGGCAGGGTCCTAACCTTCCATAGCCGCGTCGCCGCTATGAGTTGATTAGGCCCCCGTTGCCCGCGCCACTATTACCAAGCGTTCGCCTCAGTTGGCTGTCAGCGGCCGAAACCACTCGCGTCGGCTCGTTTGTAGGGTAGGACGACCCCTAAAAAAACGCCAAATTGTAGCCGTTGGTACTCCCCACAGCTTCCCTGGCTCCCTTCTCGCTCGCTCTCCGCTCCACTCGCCGGCGGCCATGTCGGCGTTACGGAGTGCCTGATCAGATAATCCTCGTAGCCGTTGGCACTCCGCACGGATTCCCTAGCTCACTTCTCGCCCACTCTCTGCTCCACTCGCCGTCCGTCGCAGTCGACGACTGCCGTTCGCGCCTCTCGGCTCTCCTGCCAGCGGCGCGCCCGTTCCAACACTCCCCTTCGCACCACCCCTAGTCAGGGTCTGCCCCGCGTCTGTCGGCGGGGTGATTTATCTGTCTCCGACCCCCGTCTCCCTTTGCTCCGGTCACGTTCAGTGGCGCCCGGGCAGGGTCCTAACCTTCCATAGCCGCGTCGCCGCTATGAGTTGATTATATTCGTGGTACTTTTACTTTGCATGCATGTCTGTAAGCCTAAAATAGATATTTAGACATAACGGACCGTTTGTGCTTTGCCTATTCTTTCCAGGAAAGGGTTACAAACGGCGCTCAAAGATTGTAGTTTTCGCCACATCCTAAAACGAGTCAAAGGCAATATCCTTGATTGTTTTATCACTACACCTCTTACTTTTTGACCAGCGCAACAAAAATGGCTGCCGTAAGCATGTTTGTCGAACTTGGTCGAACCACACAATGAGATTGATGCTACGTCTGCTCATTTCAGGGACGGCCGTTTCAAGGTGGGCGACGAACTGGTGAACGTGAACGGACGCCGACTGCGTGGCTGTGCCCTCGAGTCGGTGTTGGACGTGCTACAGGACCCGTCGCCCGAGCTGGACATTGTCATAGCGCGCGACTTCCACCCGGACCGGCTGCAGCCGGCCGCGCCGCCGGCCGGTCAGCACGTGGTGGTCATCTCTGTACCGGACACGAGCGGCGGCGGCGGCGGCGGCGGCGGCGCGTCCGGCTCTCGGGACGAGCTGCTCGACGAGCCGGACGACTCGCTCGAGTACCCGGCCACGGGCTCGGAGCCGTACGACGCCTCCGAGGCGGACGAGTACCGGCGGCCCGAGTCGGTGCTGTCGGCCGTCTCGGGCTACTCGGTGTCCAGCGCGCAGTCGGTGTCGTCGGTGCGCGAGCTGCTGCGCCGGCGGCACGAGCAGAGGGCCGGAGCCCGATCCGCCAGCTCCACGTCCTCCTCCCGCCGACCCAAGTCACTCATCACGTCTCTGCTCACCGTTTCCTTTGAGAAAGGTGCAGGCAAGAAGAGCCTCGGCTTCAGCATCGTCGGAGGCCGCGATTCGCCCAAAGGCAACATGGGAATCTACGTCAAGACGGTCTTCCCGAACGGACAAGCCGCCGAAGAGGGCAAGCTGATAGAGGGTATGTAATGCAAAGCACATATGGGATGGAAGCACAGTTAAAAACAACCCATTTTATTTGCATTTACGCTTTATCGATATCAAACACTAGCAGCTTAACCCGCGAGTTGCTGGGGGGGGGCGTTAAACGCCCCCACTTTTTTCGCCGGGCCATAGCATAAAAACGGCGCGCCGCAGGCGCGCTAAATTTTGGGTACCTGTAGGGAATTGATTGAAGTTTATTGTGACAAAGGTTAAGAAAATCGGTCGGAAATTTTTTGAGATATCGAGGTTTTAGTGACGTCATGATTTCTGAGTTTTCGACCAAAAACGGCATATGTTCCAAAAATCATATAAAATCACAGAATAGACATACAGACATGCCGTAAACGCCATTAGACTGCCAATACCATGAACAATCAAATGGCTATCTCCGATTATTGATTATCGTTCCGCATTTTCCGAAATCTTGAACTGAACTTCGGCAATTTCTCGTGACTACTTCACGACCATGATACATGCATTTCTTAAATTGAACTTTTTGATCCAAACACGTACACATATGATAAAATGAATGTCACCATCGTGTTCTACGCCCCAAATTACCCATTAAACATGTGTCACAGGCTGCAAATATCATTTCTGCTTTTCGGGGATATGTGCCTACCCGGTTGACCTGACCTTGACCCTGACCTATGCTTGACTGACCCCTACATGGAGCTGACCTCTTGTAGGCCTTATATAATGGATTGTGCACCGTTTTGACAGAGTTTATGACGAGAGGCGCCCGTTGCGAAGTCCTGAAGTCCATGCTACTGGAAGCCCGATTTCAGGTGTTTGACCTGACCTTGACCCGACCTGTGACCTCAAAATTCAACTTTAAAGTACTCATCTGAAGCGTCTCGTCGCGTTCTTTCGTTTGCCGCCTCGTGCGTTTCGCTCGAGTTTTCATCAGCTCTCGAGTTATCGGCTGGGCGAAATACCCCAGCAACTGCCGGGTTAAACGCTGCTCTGTTTGAATATTTTTTTGCTTGTTTGCTGGGTGCCGTTCATTGCCCTTTCTTGATAATGGTGTACGGTTATGTGTCCCGTGAGCCAGAAAACTTTTTGCCCTGAAAGATTTTAACCTCATTTACCATTTCGACTAGGGTCGTCGTTGACCGTGGTCCTAGCTTTCCTGGTGACTTGAAAGTCACAGCATAATTATAGCATCTCTGACAATCCTAATTGCCTTACGAACCATAAACGGTTGTAAAAGACGAGTTAACTTTTTTGTCCTTACCCTGGTCTTCCAACCCTCTCATCATCTCATCCTCAGGCTGGAAGGGCAAAACTTTCACTGAAGCAGCATGAAGTTAGTCCGTGAATTATGAAAGTATTCAAAAACGATCGAGTAGGAGCGAACCGGTTGGAGCCTTGCGCATTGCGATGTGGAAACGGATCTGATACATTTGAACAATCGATGTCGTGATGCTAAAAATACCTACTCCTTTCGTGATTCAGCAAAACGTGTGTCATTTATAATCTAAGCAGCCACTAACCGTTATCGCGACGTTTGGCATTTTTCTCAGTTGAATGTTCTGTTCTTACCGCAAAGTACGTCTAGTTCAATGTCTCAAAATTATAAATGAAATTGCAACAAGAACGCGATAGACGTATGACGGTAATTTGGTAATTTCGCCGGCAATTAATATACGCTTTCAGAATCTGACAATCCAATCCATTTCACGCATTACAGCCGTTCTCTCAGGGCCAAACGATCAGTTCAATGGCCAATAAACCATCAAACACCATCCAACGTCTCCAGCCTTCGGCAGATGTCTTTATGGCACACAACTCAAATTAACATTGACCTTCACTCGCCTTCCTACCACCAATCCTCTGATCACGCTTCTTCTACTAATCCAGGAACCTCTGTCAGGAGCGTCACCGTATATAATCGGCCCACCAAATGTCTCAATTCGTCCTCTGACAATCGATATCTATTTTCAGGTGATGAGATCCTGGCGGTGAACGGTTACAGCATGCAAGGCCTGTCGCACGGCGAGGCCGTGGTGGTGTTCAAGTCGGTCCGATCCGGACAGGTGATTCTGTATATCGCCCGCCGTGAGCAGTACGGGCGACGGAGGTGAGGAATAACGGGGAAGGGGATGGGAGAAAGAAGGGGAGAGGGTGTCAGAAGAACAGGGGTGACGGCGGAGTGGGGGGGGGGGGAGGAAAGGGGGCGTTTGAGACGACGCAGGAACCTTGAGGACGGAAACGCACAAGAGCGGGTCTTGGGAGGACAATGGACATGTCTTGTTGCATAATTCGCCTATAAAACCGCGTTGTTTATTCTGGAGGTCACACTGTGTAATCCGGCACACGCTTCACTCATCAGTCACCACTAACGACATCAACAGCGAGTTCGCTCACAATCAGTGCCCCTAATTCCCACTTACCCGGTTACGAAATATGAAACGAGTGGACAGTGATCGATCGTTTCACTGATGCCTGGAGAAGCGAATTCCCACCTTTGCCGATCCTCCTGTAGGTAACAATGGATTATGCCGCGAAACAACTACTAGATGTTGTCAGTGGAAGGGCGCATCTTACATGCGAATGAACATTTTAAAATGCTCCATCTTCCTTCCATTTATGTAGCTTCCATGTGTGAGCGCTTTTAAACGATCCTTCACGGCCTTGTGTAACCTCGCGCCCTCAGCCTTGAAAGACAAAGACGAGCGCATTCTGTTCACATAATTTCTAACGGGATTGGCCAAGAACGGCCGCACCTCAGTGTCAATCTGGGAACTGTTTCACGCTTGTTGGTATCCATCTCGGGTTCTACTCGTGTTACGCAGTTGTCATGCCCCACGGGACGAAATTTTAACTTTTGATATTTACAGAATACGTAAGCGGGCGTATGTATGTTACAGTTAGTATGCGAAATCCGTTAGTTTGCAACGCAACTAGTTTCGTTGCAAACTACCTGACCGGCCAGGTAGTTTGCAACGAAACTAGTTCCGTTGCAAACTAACTGGCCGTCCAGTTAGTTTGCAAACTAACTAGTTAGGATGCAAACTACCTAGGTACGTTGCAAACTACCTAGTTACTTTGCAACAGAACTAGGTGTGTTGCAACGGAACTAGTTGTAGGGTAAGGGCGGGTAAGAGTACGCGGGCGATAAGAGTACGCATCAGCTGTTTCGGTTGCTTAGCAACGCGGGTTTGTCGAGTTCATGAAGTGACATGAAGCCGCCAGTGCGTGCATGTCACCAACGGAACGTGGGCGTTGAGCGGCGACGCTGTTGAGTTTAAGGCGATGAATATTATTTTCGAGCGTTATGATATTATTATGATATGGTACAATAATTTTGATACTTGGCAGTTGAGATAAGGTACATTTCCGTGATTGTTGTGGGAAACTTGTGAGGTTATCTGGGGAAATACTGTACAGTGCAATATTCTGTTTGCGAAGTTTTGCACAACGTTTCGGGGTTGTTTTGTGCCCGAATTGCATGTACGGTAAGAGGACGCACTGTTCAGGAGGGTAAGAGTACGCAGAATTATACATTAAGTCGAATATACAGAAATATAGAATTATTAATCTATCGCTCAATGACGTTTGTTTTGTAGGTATATCATCAATGGAGCACTGTGATGCAGATGCGTACCCGAAATTCTTCCAAATACGAGTTATTCTCCTTTTTGATTGTGCATTTTTTTTAAGAAACACACGACATGATTATTTCCTGATTTATAGACTTGAAAGATTTATTTTATGTTTTTCTTTTTGGATACTAGAATTAACTTAAATGCCTTCTGAGTTTGAAGTTAAGCATTTGGACAATGCAAGCTGCATAGGTGTGTGTTCATATGCTTGCGTACTCCACCCGCCTGGCGTGCGTACTCTTACACACCCCATATGGTAAGAGTACGCAAGTGCAACGGTTCAGAAAATGTCAGTTTTAGACCACTTCCATTTACGCTGAAGGATCGTTGCCCCATGGGTTGATGGCTAATTCAATGAACTTTAATATTCCCTATTTGCGATTTCTTTCCTTCAAATATTAAACAAATGAGAGCAAGAAATCCACTAAGTGCGTACTCTTATACGACTTCACCCTAATGCGAAATCGACGAGGCAGTGGCTCTATTTGTCGGTTATATTCATCTTTTATGTAAATTTTAACAACGGTTGTTAAAAAAGCTGTGTTTTTCTAACGGGTCACACTAGACATACGAGTAGGTCGGGCATGGTCACATTTATGGATGAAACAGTGAATAACCAGATTCGACTACATAATGTGACGATCACTGGTGGATCCAGAGCAGGGGCAGTTCCGGGGGGCATTTTGCGATTTTGATTTTTTTTTGCGGCACACACTAACACCAGTCACCACCGCCGCCGCACAGAACAGAACTGAACTGTATTGTCCCATTGTCCCGTGTTCCGGGGTAAGCGTGCGATCAAGAATCTGTCTCACCGGCCGACTCCTACTCGACTCGCCTAGCCAGGTGACCTAGCGGTGCCGGGCCATTCGGTAACAGCGCAATGATCAAAGGGCAGGTCGCGTCACAGACTGATCGGTTGTGGTCGTGGAGGTAGGAGCTCGTCAGCGGCCTGGTTCTTGAATATTCCGAAATCGGCAGCAGAACCTTTACTTTCCGCTTATGTCTACGCATTTATGGTGATCACTGGTGGTTCCAGAAAGATGGTCTTAACCCGCGCATGACTGGGATATTTTCCATAACGCGAGTGACTGAGCGGGGGGGGGGGGGGTCTCTCCAGAGACCACCCTCTCCTATCTCCGAAACTACTGGGCCGATCGTCAAAATTCAAACGGTGTCTGATAGCCCTGGAAAAACTGTCGAACGAAACCTATTTTCATTGACCTCGAGGTCACCGATGACGTCACAGGCTGGGTCAAAGTAAAAATTATCGGCATTTTTTGCTTGTTCACAAGTTAGGCTCTGGCCGCCGACTGACAAGTCCGATCAGGCTGATTTTTGGTTTACGCACTCCTTGATATATGCCTTAGATACCCTGAGGGTACCGAACTTTTACTTTGATTTTTCAGGTCAAGGCCAGGTCATCCTAGGTCACGAAAATTGTATATCATGTATCGGTCACGTGACACATGTTTTATGGTCCATTTTACATGTAGATTTCGAAAATAATGTCGTATGTGTCATTTGAGGTCATTTTCAGCTGAATGTACGGGAGGTCAGGTCAATTTCAGGTCAGAAAATGTCAAATTTTGAAAATGAAATTGTTCAACAAAAAAGGTGCTTATCAGATGCAGTTTGAGCTCAGGAACACGATGGTGACATTTATTTTACTGTACGATGTAAAAAAACGTACTGAAAATGGTTTTGAAAAATATATAATTGTAAACTTTTGACAATAATGCAAATAACTTGGCTATTTTTGAAAATATTGGATCTATCTTTAAAACTAAGCTCTTGAGAGCGTTTGCCGTAATTCAATATGTTGCATCAAAATCGGCCGACATGACGTCACTGTGACGTCATTTCCGGCCAAACTATGGTAGCTAGAAAGTTGACATTTTAAACACAAGGTGTCAAATTGATGCCGCTGAGGGTACTGCAAGTTTCGTGTTGATCCGTAAAACGGCTTAGAAGATATTGCCGAAAAACGGAAGGGGGCTCTGTAGAGCCCCCCCCCCTCCAGTCATGCGCGGGTTAAACGTTGCGGGAGACATAATCCCAAAAAAATCTCCAAATTCCAAAAACCTTTCGGATTTTGATTCCAATTCTTACACACGGCTGTGCAGTCTAAAACAAGTATTTGATTATAAAAGTTGTAAGGTTTTCGTTTCATTCTCATAATAAGTAAATATTTGTAGCTTTCGGGCGCTGCGTGGATGGCGGAGCGATTTCGTGCGCCCTCCCCCCCCCCTCTGGATCCGCCAGTGATCGTAACGTTATGTAGTCGAATCCGGTTAATTCACTGTTTCTATCCTAAATGTGACCACCCGTCTTATGTCTATAGTGTCACCCGTTAGAAAAACACAGCTTTGTTTTAAAGACCGTTGTTAAAATTTACATAAAAGTTGAATATAACCGACAAATAGAGCCACTGCCTCGTCGATTTCGCATTACAACTAGTTCCGTTGCAACACACCTAGTTCCGTTGTAAAGTAACTAGGTAGTTTGCAACGTACCTAGGTAGTTTGCATCCTAACTAGTTAGTTTGCAAACTAACTGGACGGTCAGTTAGTTTGCAACGGAACTAGTTTCGTTGCAAACTACCTGGCCGGTCAGGTAGTTTGCAACGAAACTAGTTGCGTTGTAAACTAACGGATTTCGCATACTAACTGTAACATGTACATGGTAACGATATTCGAGAAAGATGTACAGCCCTCAGCAGACTGCGTGGTAGGTATTCTTTTTTCGACAAAACCAAAAATAACTGAAAGGCTATGCTATCAGTCGGTCGGAACTCACTGCAAATAGATGCGCCATGCTCCACTCCTTCGATTAGGTCTATCACTAAACAAACTATACGACTTGTGTGTCAACAAAATGCAAAAGTTTGTTTTGGGGGCAAATATAAACTTTTGGGTTTTGTTGCCGAACTAGATGGAAAATGAATACGGTGATGATGCCAACCTATGGTGCGGAGTCTCACGCGTCTTGCTGTTACGATTTCCGAGTGACAGATAGCATACTATTCGCGTTATTCTCGTTTTTGTCGAAAAAAGAATGCCTACCACGCAGTTTGCAGAGGGCTGTACATCGCAGTTGCGCGGCGCACGCACACGAGCCAGCCGTAACCGGGTACTTCAGCAGCGGTCTGCCGGAGAGCGTTCATCTCCCGCTTGTACCTCGGGTACACCCACGCCCGGTATGCTCGCCGTTCGGTACCCCGCCGCGCGCCGCTGACCCGCTAGTCTGAGGCCATTGTCTGTTCTGTCTGATTCTTACCACCGTGCCTGAGCGCGGGTGTCCGTGGGAGTGCCTCTGTCTCGCTTGTCCCGCCTGTGCACCGTTTATGTCTCGCCTCCGTCTCGCCTTTGTCCCGCCTATGTCCCGCCTATCTCCCGCCTGTTCCACTATTGTCCCGTCCATGTCCCATCCATGGGTGTAACTTTGTATACTTTCGAGGTCCCATGTGGGACCC